CTCATGCTGGATTTTATTTTCTGTGTGACTGCTCTCTTTACTTAACAAAACAATGCATGATCAAGGATCTTTGGCTAACTTGAGCTCCATCATCATATAAATTAAGAAGTCTAACTTTTCACCCCTCACTAATATAGCTGTGGGAAGAGAGTTCAGTTCAGATATTCCAGTTGAATCTTAACTCTTAATTTAAGTAAAGATGCAAATGCAATAAAGATTGCATATTCTAGAGAAAAAGAATGCTTCATCAATAATAGCTGGGATATTTTTTAAAGAGAAATGCAGCTTCCTTCCTCTGTGTGCACTTTGTACAGATTTACTCTAATGTCAGCTCTATGTTCTTACCTGAAAGACAGAAAAATGAAAGGAGGGGGATGGAACTGAAGTTGGCTTTGTATTATCTTTCCTGGTGCTTGCAACAGGAAACTAAAATACATTACTGAAGGGAGAGTGTCACCACAGAGTGGATACAAGAGAGCTACAATGCTTTAAATGCTTTTTCATACTTTAATGAGAATGGATTTTCTTCTTTTAGGTAAGTAGTTCCCTTACTACTGTGATCCAGAAAATAATCCTAAGTGTTCTAGAACCAATGTGTGGAATTAACACTGTGTTTACAATACTGTTTCTGTCCTAAAAAGAGAAGAGCTGGGGAGGGGTTAGAGACTGGCAGTGTTTCAATGAGAAAATGTATAAACCAGACAGTTTTTTTTTTCTTTTTCTTTTCTAAGACGAATTGAATTTTCTGAAAGTCTGACTCTGTGGAAGCCTGTTACATTCCCTGAACATTGTGGATAAGAGTTCCTGCAACCCATCCCTGAATGGGAAAGAGCATGTTATTTACTACCCGGAATCCCACTGAATATTCAGCACCAACACCCCTAAGAAGCACTCATTTCCCAGGCTGCTGTAAGCCCTGAGGCTGAAGCTGTTTCCTGTAGCCTACAAAAAAAAAATCCTCCCATTCCCTGAAGATGCTCCCAGGTCTCGTTTTACCCAGGCTGTGCCTGGGAACAGGAGAGGCTCTGGCTGTAGCCCAGCTGCCTACAGGAGGATGCTGCAGGTGGCAAATTCAGGATCCACTGATGCCCGAACCTTGCAGAGCCAAGGCTGGGGAAGGGCTTGGCATGGGCAGGGCTGAGTGTGATGGCACAGAGCCCTCCCAGCAGAGCAAACATCACCCTGGGCTCTCCCAGAAAGGAGATTTGGTCTCTGCCCACACCCAGCCCTGGCCCAGCTGCCCCAAGTCAGTATAATTTAATCCTATTTATTCTGCTGAGAAGCCTGATTTGCCCTTTAGCTCTCTACAAATGAAGTGCAATTGATAAGGACAGCTATTCTTCTAGATTGTTTCTTTGTTTTGTTAAAGTTGAGAGATCAAATGCGATTCAAAGAATGCCATTCAACATGTTTAAGGGATGTCTTCAGAGTGGAAAGATTCCATTTGAAAACATCTGAGCCTTGCAGACAGCAAAGTAGCTCTTCAATAAAAAATTTCAAGACAAATATAGACTGGGGTACTAATCCTGTGAGTGCAATTTTTATTTGTCGCTATTGAGACAGCTGCTTTCCTTGTGAGATTAAAAGCCCCAAACATCTCAGAGTAATTTCTTATCTCTGATTCTAAGAACTGTCTGCATTTGGTGCAAGTGATGTCAGATGAACCCAGCAAGATGCAGTTAGCAAGAACTGGGGTGTGCATCCGTGTATGTCACAGGGGGATTTTTTTCCTTAAGGGTCACTTAATGGGAATTTCTTACATTGAAACTTATGTATTAGAGGAAGGGAGGAAAAAAAAAAAAAAAGAGAGAGAGAGAGAAATACACTGCCAAAATGGTAGAAATTCGAGTTTATTTAGCATAGGAAACTAGTTTGCTAAAACTATTTGGTTCCATGCATGTTTCCAGCCACAGTGCTGCATTAGTGATATGTGTCTTAAGAAAGATATCAGGACTGAATAGCAGCATAAGAGAGTGGCAGAGTGACCTGGAAAAAATTCAGTCCCTGCAATCATCAGCATCATAGATCTCCTCTTTCCACATAAAAGAAAACTATAGCAATATGAAATACCATTACAGCAAATCTTAATTGTTTCTATTTAAAGTTATCATTTGAGAATAGATATTTGCCAGCTAAAGAAAAATTATAAATATTTGTATTTCTTTTGATACTAGTAAAGCTTATATTTTTAGTAAACAGATGTGACCATCCTTGTACCCATTCAATTGAGGAGAATATTTGACACAAAAATGAAGGCTAGAAAGTTGAGAGCCAAATACACAGCTACATTTTCAGACCTAGGTTTGAATTCAAAAAGATCAGGCACATGTAGACATATGTAAAGTGAAACAATAGATTGTATCAAAACACTGCCTGTCAATCTCCTGGTCTGCTTTGCCAGTACAGAAACACGGTCACATGCTGATAATGACTGCTTGGAAAAGCCACAAAACACAGCACTTGTCTTGGTATTTTTCTTGGGTTTTTTCTCATTTCATAAACAAAGGAAAAGAAAGAGTTGTTATTATTACCAGCGAACTTGCAAAGGAGTATTTATCTTGTAAGTCTGGTTGAGAAAGTGTAATTTTATCTACTTCTTTCCTGATATTACAATTGACCAATGGCAATTACACAAGCACACAAAAAAAAACCCTACAGGAGTAGCTTGGTGTATCTGATACTCACAGAAATAAAATGCTACAAACCAAACAGTTGAATACTTTTGATGGCTTCCAAAACACAGCTAAATGCTCTGATAGCTCTAGACCAATTTTGGAATGTGCACATGAACAGCATTTTAGGACATCTTTTTTCAATGGGCCTGACCACACAGCTATGAATTGAAGAGAAACTTTCCCAGTTAGTTCAGTGAGTTTTTGATGAGGCCCCAGGTAAATTTGCTGTGTCAGTACAGTCAAGTCATACAGTATCACATCTTACAACAGTACCAGCTATTTCAGAAAGTTGTTTTTAGCTGGGTTCAGGAGCATGATAACTGAATTACTCCTGTAGGATCAAGTGGCTTCTGCCTCCTTGGATAATCTTTACTTTGTGCTCTGAGCCATAGTGGGGACAGTGGAACTTTTGTGCCTTCTAGTGTTTAGGAAAATAAAATTTTAACTTCATTACTTTGTCTAGAAAAATGATATAAGAACATATAAGCTCACATATAAGAAAGAAATGAAGATTGGCAAAGTCATGGTATATACAAATGCACCCAACTATTACATGTTACCTATCTCAGGCTTTTGCTCCAGTTCTGGCCTTTCAAGGACATAACATGAACTACCTCACTAATATAAACAACTAGAAAAAAGGTCATATTTAATTATTTATATGTATTATTTGTATCTATTATTCAGTTTATAGACAAAGGACAAAGTTATTCAGTAAATAAATAAATAATTTTGCTAACCAGATATTATATCAACGTTTATTCTGAAAAACAAAATATCAACTTTTACTCAGTTATTTTGAAAAATTGAGCTCTGTTCATAAAATCTGAGCATCATCTGGGAGCATAAAAACTTTTTGATCAATTAAAATAAATATGACATTAAGTAACATATGGGTGTGGAGTAATCTGCATTTTGATCAGTTGCAGAATGATGGAAAGGTTAAATCTAGGAATAATTCCAGACAGGACATCTGGGCAATACATTTGAATCTTTAGGTCTGCATCTAAAACTTGCACAGATTTCATGTGGCTCATCTCATGCACCCACAATAAAGTGCTCGTTTTGAAAGCTGCATCACAACTCACAAATAAGGGACTTCAACATTAAATTATTAGAAACAATTCATGCCCACATAGCAACCAAATATTATTTACATACCTACAGTGGTAAATATCAAATATATAAAAGAAGCCCATGAAGAATAATTTCTGTAGGACACAGATAAAATGCAAAGAACTCTTGGGAGTAATGCAATGGAGTAAAGATCAGCACAACAATATCAAAACTCGTTTTGTCTTGGCAAACATAGAGACCCAGCACTGACCCAGTTGAAAGGATGTGCTCAGAGCTGTGCTCTCTATTCCTCTAACAGATCAATGACAGCGTGAGCACAAAGGAACTGCCACACTGGGTGTTGAGCAGAATTCAGTGTTGAGCTGAAACTTTACTTTCTTTTAGTGAAAATAGAAACGAGTTAAAGACTTATGACTGCTGCCCTCTGCAGCCATTGGCAAGACTCAGATGGACAAACCACCTGAAGAAGAGAGGAAGCCTTAGAAGGAAGAATCTCTATAATAACAGACATGGCTCATTTTAGCAGTTCTTTCCCTCTATAAGAATCACAGGGCTTTTCAACCATCTTATTCCATAATTTCACATGGCATAAACAATCTTACCTCAGCTCCTAAAGTGTGCCTGCACAGAACCACTGCAGAAAACTATCAGGTAATAAAATGAACTTCAAGCTACAGATTCATACTGCAATCTCTCTTCAAATAAAATTTGCACTGTATCCACCATAATGTTGTTTTTTTTTTTTTCTCAAAAAGCATTCTAGCAGGATATAATTAATCTGAACATTTTCACAGAATATTCCTGAATGAGTACATCATTATATTGATAGACCTGTTCGGAATGGTAAATTCTTTTACTCTTATAGTATTACATTTGTTTGGAGATTTTGATTCAACTTTAGTGTTACTTTGAGTTAAGGATGCAATCTCTTCCTCAGTAATTTTTGTTAACAGAATGATAGTTCACTTTAAAGTGGTTGAAATATTTTACTTAAAATAATTACCAAACTTTATTAACAATATATTTTCAATGACGCCTGCAATTTTCCATTAAGTTTATTCAACCAAATTGACTAGGAGATTATTTCTTTCTTTCTACTGAGTCACATAAAACTCCTTTAAAATGGCACGAGTAGAATAATTAATAAATTTTAATAATGGAATGCATTGTACTAGGAAAAGATCATTATAGCACATTGTTACCCACTGCATCCCAGCTCTCCATTGTTTTGTTACTTTCATTCCTTACCTCTTTGTTGGCTCTGTCTGCTTGAACTAATGTTCCATTCAGACACGGCTCTACATAGTGGAGCTCTTCATTATACTACAGAGGGAAATACAAAGTATGATGAAAAATTTAATTAAAAGCTTGGAAGATACAAGTCAATTTAATGACTTAGAACTACAGTGAATGAAATAGGCACAGAAAGCAAGAACAAAAGGATTTTGTTCATTTTTAAAAGCCAGCTGTGGTATTTCTTTTCCTTTTACATGATTCTTAATTTTTCAGAGGTTTATACTTCTAAAGGAAGATTGAATGGATGCTAAAACTCAGGTAGACTTAAGGGTACTACATACCACTAGCTGGGAAAAATATCCCTCAAATGGAAATCTGGATAATATTAAGAGATCATCCTTGATACCTCAAATTGAACTCACAATTCTTTTCTACATATAAGAAAAGTCCTGAAAAATATCTGTGGCACTGTCTAACATTTTCAAAGGTTAGTACTGGAACAACTACACCAAAAAAATCTGTAAATTGAATCAATTCTATAAATGACTGACAATTTTCAAAATTTCAGTCAAGCAGAGTGGCTTACTATACACAAAGTAATGAATGTGACAGATCTTGAAGGAATTATCTGTTTTTTCTCACAAGGTGTAGGTTAGATAGCCTAGTCCTACATTCAGAAGCATCCTAAGCATTAAAAAATGCAATCTCATCTGCAGTCAGTAGAACTTGAAATGGATGATTGATTAAAATTTGAAATTTGGATTTGTTTCAAACATTTAAACCTTTCAACACAGGTCAGATTAATAAAGCAGTACCTTCAACAAATATTTTTCTAGATAGAGCCTTAAGTGAACTCCTTCTCCTGTTAATTCACTCTCCTTTTGAAGTAGGTAACTTTATAAATTATTACAAATCAAACTGTAAGGACATTGCATCTAGGCTTTAGGTGGTTTCATGCCTTCATAAAGGATTAAGTGAATCAGAACATCCACAGTAAACACACAAAAACAATCAGGGAACACATTTCACTAGATTAATGTAAGCATTTACTCCCTTCTTCCTCCACCTCAGTGGGGATAAAGAAAGCCCTCCCTGAATGACTTGTAACAAAAAGCTGTGTCGGGGTCTCTGTCACTGTGAATTCTCACTGCCTCCCTCTGCCTGTGGCTCCAAATTTGCTGTAGTCCCTTCAATTCAGCACCACTCCTGTCTCTACAGCACAGACCCTGCAACCTGATCCACTCTGGCCACCTGTCGTCACCATTCATTCCAGCAGTGCACTACTCACCACATTCATCAGCACATAATTACTCTTGCATAGGGAAGAGTATTTAATTTGAACTGCATGAAGGCACCGTGCCAGACTCAGTCCTCAGCTAAAAGGGAATATAAACCCAGAGTAACTTGCTGTTGCTGGATATTCAGATGATTTATATTAGCATTAGCATAGGAACTGGCTATACAGGAACAAGCAAAAAAATACTTGAAGGGTGTATAAACATTTCTGCAGCAGATTTGTATGTTTCCCTAATTGTTTGATTGCCATCAATGTTATTTCAATGTGTGAGACTGTATGGACTTTTCTATTGTTCCACAGGTAATACAAAGTACAAGGCAAAGGTCTCCAGGACAGTTTGGAGTCACTGAGAGTGTCCCGTGTGCATCTCAGCCTCATAACAGTTTATTGACCTGATAAATTATGTACTTTCCCCTGTAGTTTCTCTCTTCAGACTGCTTTCCAATCTATCTCCTGACAGTCACTGCAAAATAACAATGCCAAATCTACACACCATCTCTTATAGTCCAAAGACCATACTCCAATCTATTTTAAAAAATAAAATACTGAAAATCTGTGATAGATGCTGGTACACCAGCCCCTACTCCCAAGCTTTTTTATGGTCATATACAGGTTTTTATCAATATGTTCTTTAATCAGGATACTTTCCAGTTAAGCCTGTTCTTAGTTTTATCTCTGTCATTAGAAACTACAAGAGCATACATTTATATCTTACCAGGCATAGTGTCTGCAACTGGCCAACATGCAATAAAATGCTAAAGGTTCAAACACCTGCATGTCAGTAAACTCAAGGTTTGCTAATGTTGCAGTAACAACCCTTTTTTTTTGCTTTAGGATCTATAACCACCAGCAAATAAATGAAACAACTTCCTACTCTATCAGGCCTTCAGGCATCTAAATAGTTTTAATTTCTGTCCACTAGATTTCTATTAGATTTAGCTACTATTTTGGGTAACTCATCAGGCTATGCACAGAGACTGTAGCTGCACCACAACCCAGAGAGATTCTCAGCAGTTTCCCACTAAGCCTTCATGTTCCTCAGTTGTTCAGGATAAAGGATGTTCATGTCTTCACAGAGGATGTTCTTCAAGTCCCTTCACAGCCCCCTTTCATAGAAGCAACCTGCTTCAGAAATGGGTAATTAAAATTTTTCATTCTCACACACAGAACACAATTGGATAGAAAATGTAGATACTGATCCTTCTGAAACCCAGGAAAATTCTATCACTATTTCCAGCTGTGGCATCTAATTCACTTTGAGATTATTCCTACCAGAAATATATTAAGCAATGTAGTATTCATGGCAGAAGTAGCTGAATGGTGCCAACATGTGAAAAAGAAAACACAAAACTGGGATTCTGATGTAACATGTGAAAGCATTCAAGCAGTGTTTGCTGTTGAAACTTACATACCCACTTGATAAGATCCTTAATACAACTGTAACTTTCTGGTAAAATACCTAACTTATTCTTCATAGCATGTATTTGATTTCTTTGCCCTTGACACAGGGTGTCTCACAGTGATATGGGTGATGGTTTCTTTTAACTCTGCCAAATCTTTAAAGTGCAAAAAGTGGAGAAATTCTCCCTTCCTCCACCTCCCCACTACCTCATCAGTAACTTAGACTCAGTCCTACATTTCTTCTGACATTTAAAATTTTGTATTTAGTGAAATAACTTCTTGATCTGATTAACAACTGCTTCACCAATTAACTTGGCCAGCAATGCCCAGTATAGATGTCTTGTTAATTTACCTCAGTGAAAGCCTGCATTTAGCTTTTCAAGAGTTCTTGCATTATGCTATTTTCTCACATTTCCTAGTGTTACATATCCCATTCCTCCATATCCTAGCATGTGATGTGACATCCTTGCACGTGACAGCAGCAGCTGGGAGTGCTGATACCTGCACAATTGCTGGCAATAGCCTCAGTTTTGCTGAGGGGAAGGAGGTAAAAATTAATTACCTTCCTTTCTGAGTTCTTCTTTGAAAACCCCAGTTTACTCTTGTAATTTAAACATGTAATTACACTGATATTTATTATTTTATTTACATAGTTATGGTTATCTGTCTTATTAATTCACATTATTTTCTCCTTCTTTTTATTTCTTTGCACAACAGACATAAAAATGTAAGTGGGCTAAAATGTGAACTAAGAGAAACCATACAGTTATTTAGAGAGCTGCTGGCCTATATTCTATAATAAGATACTATTCATATTCTGAAAATGAGATATATATGGTTTTAGCACACCTACACAAGTAGAATACATTTTCCGTAGCATTTTCCATATTTTTTCTTTGTCACATCTAAGCTCCCTGGCGCAAGGTGCACAGAAATAAATTAAATTCCCATTTTGTTGTGCAACAATACACAGATAAAAGTTTACACATTATATTAAAGCATATTCAGATATCAATTCAGCCCAGCCTAAGAAGCCAATCCAGAAAAGGAACCAAAGGAATTGTGTTTCCATAGTTTACTGTGCCAAACAAGTGGCACACAAGCACAGCCCACTGCTTGGAGACTTCATATGGAGGTTCATTTCGGCTGCCTCTCTTTGTCAGCCTGCTCACACATCAGCTCTACAGAATTTAATTATTCAGGCAAGCTGAAAAGTAAATTTAACCATGGTCTATTCTGGAGGAATTAAAAAAAAAAAAAGGAGACTATTTATACTGGAAAATTCTACATATTAATAGTGGGAGCTATACTACTGTGCTTTGAATTAAAAAATACTTTTATTCTAATCAATTTTGCTAAAAGGGTGTGTCTAAAGCAGTAAAACTAATTTAACATTCTTGGCTCGGTCAATATTTTGCTAAATCAATACAGAGTTTGTATAAAAGCATTTTAAAAATTTCAGCATTTGACAAAATTAGTACTCATTTTATGATAATATTGTTAATTTAATGCTTGACTTGGAATTATACTTCAAAGTGAATTGGAAAAATACTCCTTTTCTCTTGTTGCTGCAGATATTTTAGTTCATGCACCAGTGAACTGACCTTAAATTTTAACATTGGCAGCACAGAATCGCTCTTGTATTTCAATAATTTTTTTTGCAATTCAATCATCTAGTCCATCAATTTCAGATGGATATTGCAACAACCTACCCATGAAAGCTAAAATGATCTTTAACATTATCCTTTTATGTTTATTCTCTGGAAAGGTCTGCAGTGAATTCTGCTTTCTGATATATATACATTTCTATCTATATATATGGATAGATATGCAGAAGGACATACAAGTATTCATTCTGTTAATCACATGGCATAATAAAGCCATCCTGACACTCACAGTCACTCAAGTTCAAAATTTTGCTTCGTCTAGTAAGTACACATTGTTGCTCCAGATTTCCCACATTAATAAAGCTCTTATTCCACCTCAGAGTTTGGTGTGGGGAGAGAGGGAGGTACTTGGCCATTTGTCTGAGACTTGCAGATGCCCAGGAGCCCTCACAGAGCAGCCAGTCCGAGCAAGGACCAGCCGTGTGCTGTGTGGAGCTTCAGTCTCCACACATCTGGGCACATCTGGGCACACCCTGCACAGCTGGACAGCTCTGGAGGCAGAGGCGATCTGCTCCTACAGAGGGGATTTCTGGGACTGACATATGTGTATCCTTCCTATGAAAATCTGTCACATCAGCAGGCTGTGCCTGAATTACAAAGAGTGAGATATAATCTCACTCAAACAATTGTCTATAGATAAAAGCTGTACGGGATTTTCAGTGCTTTCACACCAGCAGCCTCTTGTGTGGGCCTTGTTGTGTCCTGTTTTGATCACTGAAACATCTCCGTTCTTGACAAATTTCATTTGCCCTGCTGGCACTTGGTCAAAGCAATGCTTTGGAAGCAATTTCTGCAGAAAACATAAATCACAGTGACTGGCTTTACTGTGTCCCCTCACTGTCTCTCACCCACCAAATTCTGAGAGCAGCTCATGGCTCAGCCCCAGCCTGCTTGTGCCATTCCTCATTCAGAAACCCACTCCCTTCTCCACAGCACAGGTCTCCCTTGCTAGTTTGCTCCATTTTCATGCAAACAATTTTTTTTTGTTTGTTCACACTGTTATTTTTTTTTTTGCTTGTGAGACAGCAAGAGGAAGCTGAGTCAGGGGAGGTTTAGGTTATATACCAGGAAAAGGATTTTAACCCAGAGGGTGGTTGAAGAGTGGAACAGGCTCCCCAGGGCAGTGGTCACAGCACCAAACCTGTCAGAGTTCAAGGAGTGTTTGAACAATGTTCTCAGGCACATGGTGGGATTCCTGGGGTGTTCTGTGCAGGGCCAGGAGTTGGGCTTGATGATGCTGATGGATCCCTTCTAACTCAGCATAGTCCATGTTCCATGACTTAGTACAGAACAACTCCCTACAAACTCTTGCTGCAGAACCCCAAGGCAACAGGAGAGTGCTTCACCCCCTTGCTGCCATTCCTGCCATGCTCCCCTTGTTCCCAATACATTTCTGTGGTGCCTCAATGAAAACCTTCAGGTTCAAATTTGCACATCAACGTCCTAATGAAATTAAACAGCTGAGCTGGTAAGCATAAAAACACATTCTCCTTTGCTTTTTCTACTTATTTAAACAAACACACACACTTCCATCCTAGAAGAGGTTCTACAGAGGAGAGAACCTACAGAGAAAAAAAAATTACCTCAGACAAATGCTGTAATTAGCACAGTAATTAGGTTTCTTTCTAAAAATCCAGAACTTCTGATAGTAGCCAAGCACTGCAGGAGGGAGAGGGCCACAAAGGGCCCTCTTAGCCAGCTCCACCAGCACCAGCTGTGGCTGCAGACACTGCAAGGTGCCCAAAAGGAGGCACAGCAGGCTGGGGGCTGTAGTGCCTGGAAAGGGCCATCAGCAGCTGGAAACATCTGGAAACACAGCTGGGAGACTGCCATGGTGAAAGGGGTGTGCTGCTGGACACGGGGGCCGTGGGTGACCCCATCCAGGGTGAGGTGGGGACACCCAGAGGGACGGTGGCCATGGGTGACCCAGCTGAAGGGGACAACAACGAGCAGGGAGGGCACAGCCAGGAGGGACAGGGAGAAGCTGCAGTGACAGATCAGCTGCTGGAAACCAAGCCCTGGCCCAGCTGCCTCGGGTGCTCCTCACCCTGGCAGGGGACACTGGAAGGGCAGCAATGGCACTGGGCACAATTTCAGCCCGGGCAACTGGGAGGAAAGGCTCAGGCGGGTGATTCTTCCCTTTCCTCAATGCAAATTCAGTGAACAGAAGCTTGTGGTAATTTGTCAGTAATTTATAAAAAAATTCCGTGACACCATGGTGTTTGACACACAGCTCAGTTCATTTTCAAATAAGCTTTAAATTGGAAAAAGTAATGACTAGTTTTTCATACTTTTTAAAACGGTATTTGCACAGTATTTCCACTGTACTGCTTGGGCAAAATCATTAGTTTGGATTCAAGCTATGCATGTTTTTACTCTTTTTTTTTTTTTTTTTTATAGATGAGCCTTTTGATTTTCTAAAGTAAAATTTTCACTTAAAAAACAAACTTTTCTTTTTTCTTCCTAGATAATTCCCAGTAACTGTTACAACTACTGATAAACAGAGATTATGCACCAAAAAATGACTGGTCAGGCATCTTAGTAATTACTTTAGTTGAAACATTCTTTCAACTTACAGAAGTTATTTAGATTACAGTTAATGACATTTTTTTAAGGACAGTAAATATTTTTTTGGTAAAGTATGTAATTATATTTTTATACAACATGAGTTTCTGCTAATTATGCAATTAGCATGCAAATAGATTAATATGAAAAGAGCCTGAACTGTTTGCTATACATTAAAAATACAGTATATGTATATATACTTCACACACATATACTTTTCTATACAACCTCAATGATTTACACTTGTGTCTCTGGGGTCATTTAATTTAGTACACAAAGAACATTTGTCCCTTGTAGCAAAAAAGACCAAAATCTTCCTTATATTCAAGAAGCTGAAGACGTTTATGCATTGGAGAAAAACCATTTATTTATAAAGTATTAGCAAGAGAGTATCAGCAAAAGAAAATTTATTTAACAACCAATTCCTCCTCCCTTCCCTCTCCTGCAAATCATAGTTCTGATGTCAGTTTTGGATTTGTTGAAGTCATCCTAACCCACAAGTTTAATCCCATTACTCTTAAGTACAGTAAAAGCAGCCTCTTGTCATAGCTTTAAAACTTGTACCTGTGCCATGGAAAACTCACTGCCACACACCAGAGGAGCTTCTGAGGATCTGATTTCTCCCTGTTAATAAACACCAGCAGCCCCTCTACACAACCTGCACATACATACATTCCAGACCAGAACATGAACATTGAGGAGTTATGTTGGCATTTCATCATGCCATGCAAGCCTTAGAAAAAGCTAAAATCTGAATCTGTTAATTCTTACATTTTACAATTCTTTACATTTTGCAATTTGCACAGTATTGCAGGTGCCAAGGGGGAACAGCAGGGGGAAAGGCAGACACACTACAAAGTTAAGATAATACACAAAGTTCAAGCAAACTTAAAAAAAAAAATTACTACTCTTTTCAAACCCAGACTGAAGACCACTTCTTGAAAGTAAGTCATAGACAAGCAGTCTGACATCTCTGACACTTGAAGAATCTCACAGTGAAAAAACAGTGTCTGTCCAGTGGGCTCAGATGTCACCTTATCCATCACCTGTCTACCACATTTTTCAAGTGGCTTGAGTGAAGTAAAACATGACAGATAGCAAGAAATGATGGAAGAAAAACAGTAAAAAAAAAACAAAAAAACCTGAGACACTCACAGCAATTATATTGAAGAAGTCATCATCTCCAAGGGTATCCAAAATAGATGAAACTGTCTGTTTTGCAATAGTCAAGCGAAGCCCTTTCATACTGCCACTGACATCCACTAAAATTACCACATCTTTTGGAGAAGTTGCTGCCTGGATGTACCTGAGATGAAAGACAAAATTTTTTTAAAATACTTTCTTTTTCATCATTTTAAATTTCTTAAATACTGCCAGTCATCAATTGCCTACCACTTTCTGTTTCTGCAGTCAAATGCAATGACTCCATTCTCATCGGGTTCCCATTTAATTCCTGTTTAAAAAAAAATAGAGAATAAAATATGAAATTAAATTTTCACAGTACCTGTTCAAAATGTATTTGTGGTATTGTGGCTACGTAGCAGTTAATTGAGTTTCCTATTTTAATCTAACAGGCACTGCCATCATAACATAGGAAATACTGAGGAGAAGAAAAGCTCCTAAAATAGGGCAACTAGAAATATTTTTTCCTTACTCCTTTTTAGTCAACTCTAAGGTGAAACCTCTTCAAGTCTACTATGTTCATTGCATTATTTTCACAAAATTCTTGCCATTCTTGGATGTTGGTAGTGGAAAGCTTTATCACATCTTGCCAAATCCTTTGCAGACCTTGAGCTCTTCCTACCCATGGCTGACTCCAGCAGCTCCCATTACACTTCCTGCTCCACTCACAGGTCATACTCTGAATTTTCACTCACATCACTATGAGCAGGTAATATCTCCTGGTTACCAGAAGATGTATGATAAAAATAACTCCAAAGAAAAAAAAATGACAGGAGAATTCTTCCTGCTTTTTGCACTCATTTTCTAGCACAAAACAAGAAAGAGCATTGAAAATAAGGACTGATATTTGAAATATCATGGAGCTTGGGAACTGAAATATAATCTAAAATTAACACAGATGTAGTAGCCATTAGTCTCAGCTACTTTCAGACATACAGGTTTATAGTGAACTTGCTTAAACTCAAGACTTAGAGAAACATGGGTCACCAAACCATGTCAGCCAAAGGAACAGCACCCACGATGAGCTTGATTCAAAGCTAGAGAAGCTGAAAATCTGCTTAGCTTCAGTTTATTATAATGTGGTAAATTTTGCATAGGAATAAACATAAAACTTAATAGGCAACAATATATATTTTAACCTATTTTTATAGAAATAATACAAGTGATGTGATTGCATTTTATTACAACTGATGTGAAAATACACTTTCAACAAGTTTTTTAAATCTTTAAATGTAAATCTGTCAGGTTAAATGGAAATTGAAAAATAGAACAACAAATAATGATGAAGTCATACTTTGTGCATTGATGGAGCACATAATTTAAGCTTAGTATCATATGAAGGCTCTAATCCTTTTGCTCTCCTTCTTCACAGCCTGTTTAGAGGTTATTTTTCACACGTGTATATGTTTGTCTGAAGAGCATTTTTTTATGAGTACATGAGTTATCATGAGAGTTTCACCTCGAAATAGAAATTGTTAGAAAAACCTCTAAATTTTCAAAAAGTTGATTAGAAATCTCTCTGAGAAGTAGATGAAGTAAAATCAAACCTTCAAGTATCTGTGGCAGTCAGGATTTGTGACAATACTCAATGCAGCCACAGCATTCTTTATTGTATTTTAAGAACTCTTCTTCCTACCTGGATATTGTCTGAAAAATCCTTTTGCACTTCCAAAGTACTGCCAGATGAGAGAAGGGTCACGATCAAAGTTATCAACAAACACCTTATTTAAAGATTCTGACCAATAAACTCCATTTACAATGGCTGGATCTGGAAAAAAAAATAAATAACACATACAAACAATGAAAAGTGATTTTATCTAAGTAGAATCCCATGAGCTCTACCATCTTCAGCTTATTCAACACCCAAAAATCTATTGACTGAAAACTGTTGCAAAATGGTTTTAGTTTTCTTTGTCAAATGAGTGATCCAAAATAAATAATTCACTTAAAGAATAGAAGCATGGCTCAAAAAGAGCAGACAAACCTGGTACTACTCTTTAGATAAGTTAAAATTGCTCTTTAGAGCATCTGTGTTGAACCACCACTTTGCTTGTTTTGGAGAACATAAATAAGTCAACCTAATTTAGATTATTTACTCAATGTACCTTCCCTAAATGCATGGAATGTCTCATGGCAACACTTTATTTTTTTAAACATTAAATTTGGTAATGGTTGAAAGTTGTTCATATTGGAACAGAAAGTAAAATAGCTTTTATTTCACACTTGAATTATGATATGCATAAAAACACAACATCTTATGACAAATACCACTAGTTATTATTTGGAAAACATTGAACCCACATTCCTCAACAATTACCCAATTAGTTTTTACTTCCATAGAAAGAAAACTACAAAGCTAACCCTTGATGCTGAAACTATTCTGTGTAAGACATCCCCATCTATCAATCCCTAATGCTGCCCAAGTATGTTCTTAAGCTGCAGATTTGGTTCAATAGTGGGAAATGAGAAATCAATGAACATGTCTTAGAAAGTTACTGGATTTTAAACCGTGAATTTTGAAAGGTAAGAAACAATTAACATACAGGATATTCCCAATTCAATCTTATGTGAAGTCAGAATAGAAAGGAAAAAGCAGAACTGAAATCACAGATGTATTATTTAATTTGAAGAAGTGTGCATACATGAATACACAGTAACATTTGCTCAAGCATTTGAAATAAAGCAGCCATTAGCTTGCAAAATAATGTCGCTGTACTGATTTCAGAAGACTGCTTCAAATGTGATTTTAATGGAGTGGAAAAAAGGCAAATTGTTATCTTCCCCTGCATTCATCAAGACAAACAGCAGAAAAATGGAAATGTATCAGCTACACAACTTTGCATGTTGCTTTCACCTAAATATTTAGGCTAATATAGATGAAATGCTGAAAAAGCAAGGTCAACAAAATAGACGTTGTTTTTAAAAACACTTGGAGTGTAGTTACTTGTTTCTCTAGAGGATGAAATACACACTCAAAACCTGCCACACCAGACACATATCACACATCAAATTGATGCCACTGGTCCAAGGGCACTGCTTCAGTCCTGCCTAGCTGGCAAAACCCATTGTGCAGCTGTTTCCCAATCTGTAGTTACCCCTATAATGACCTGTGACCAAAACATCATAAATCAGCTCTCAAGACTGAGATCTATAATTGGTTTGTAGAAATATGCTCCTATGTCAGCATTCTAAAGTATCAGCCCATTGTTCAGCACTTAGACATTACCTGAGATGTGAAGCTCTAAAATGAGAATTCTATTCCTCAGCCCACAGGAACTTCACAGTGCCAGTTCAAACACTGATATCCTGATTCTGCTCTGATGCTTCATTTCTAATGGAGTATCCAAATCACTAAAAATTGCAGTGGCATTGTTGATTCAGCATCACAATCCAGAGATAAGGCAATAAGTTTAATTCATCTTTGAAAAGAGCCACCAAGTTCAGAGGGTTGGGTTTGGGTTTTGTTCTTTTACTTTTTCTGGTGTTGCTAGAAAAGTCTGTTTAGAGGAAAAGGCATAATTTCTCAAGGCTCTAGAGAGCTATGGGCTCTTTATATGTCCTTCAGTCATCAGGATTAGTGAGAAGCTAAACAAATCAAATAGAATAATTCTGTATTAATTTATATTTAAAATAACCTGCAGTGCTTCTTAGCAACTTATGTTTGGATGTCATTCCAAGACTGCCTATTGTACCTTAGTATTTTACAGTTTTATCAATTCATTGGATGTCTCCTATCCTGGATTCCTCGGGGCCTAATTTTTAATGTCATTTCCTAATGAATCTGAGCTCTAACACCACTCGTGAGCAGAACCCTCTGCCTCCCAAGCCAATGACAATTTTATTTGAATTCTATATGCATTACAGTTCCATAAGGTCATGGCACAACTTTAGTCATTCAGCCCTTAAGTTCTGAATTGAAGTCCTTCCAGTAGCATATAAAAACATTTTTGTATATAAAAAATACAAGCATAAATTACTTTTTAAAATCATATTGAAATAGCCATGGATATTTTGGATTACTTTTTTTTAGATCATCTGTGAAGAGGTACTTAACATGTTTATATATCCATATTACAGATTAGAGAACTCTATGGAAAAAAAAAAAAAAATCAAGAAATTTTCCCTGAATGAGACTGCTGGAGTCTATATTCTGCATTAGGCCGACAACACTAATCATCCAACTGCAGATCACTCTAAACATTAATCCAGTGACTCTGAAACAAATAGATTATTTTTTTAGCTGGAAGGAGCATAAAGAAGGCATTTTAAATAAGAGGGCACAATTAAAACGTGACCTATGCTCAGTGTGCTCCTTAAAATCGAAAGCTGGTGACCATTCCCTGCCTTCCCACACCCTGCATGTCTGTTATGCTGGCTGCTCTTTTTACAATATATCAAGTTACGTTTCAGGCATCAATCCCTTAAATAAAAGAAGCGAATAGGGCTACAGTCAGTTTGATCCTTGTAATACAAGGAAAAGTGGTGTAGGGACAAATGCAGCACAGCACAAAACAGCAAACCTGGAAATCCTGAGCCTGTGCTGGCTGCTGCACCTTCAGGCAGAAGGATTTCACACTGGAGCCCTTTGTTCTGAACTTTCTAACGCTGCTCTGTGGGTGCACCTCTGTCCACATGCACCATCCCAAACACAACTGCATTTCTGACCATATGTTCTCATTAAAATTTTACACTCTCATCATCTAATAACCTGTAGGTTAAACTTGTTCTGGGCAATTTCCAATTTTAGTAATTACACTAAACTGTTTAAATTCCCTCAGTACTTCATTTAGAAACAGTATTCTTAAGTTTTTCAATTACTGGTGAACATCATCTGCATCCCCCAGATAGTTAAATGTCAATAGTGATAAATTAATCTGTGTGAATATTCAGAAATTTGGTGAGGGAGAAAAAAAAAAAAAGTAAAGCTTAATATAAATGCAAAATCATTTATGTGATGTTATGGGGCTCAGAGATAATAAATGTAAATAGCTTTCACCACAGTTCTTGAAATAGAATTTCTGCTTTTGCTTCCTGGCAGATAAAATGTAATTAAAATATTCCCTTTCCCTTGTCTTTTAGATGAGCTGGTTTGCAATTATATGGGATTTTGCTCCACCATTGTTTGTGTAGCTGTTACCTGTTTTTACTGACATTTATCATAAAACCAACCTCCAGGAAAATAGGCACAGTGACACGAAACTGAAATGAGATTGCCAAGGAACAGTACAAATGCATGTAGCAATTAAGTGGCTGTCACAGATCCTGCTGGCCTGAAAAGGACTGAAGTCTCAACGAAGGCAAGGAAGGTGCACAGACTAAAAGATGTGCAACAGCCAAAGGTAATGACTTTTTTTTATGTTCATAGAATCCATAAAAGTATCTAGAGTATGCTAAGTCTACAGAACAAAACTAATACCTACACAACCCATTTTGGATTTCAATTATTGCAGCACATTTTACAGAAAATAAGGGAAACCACTGAGGAACACAGTAACTATGAAGGAATTGTGGAATATGTCTCATTCTTGCCATACTCTGTTTTATTATCAAGGAAAAAAAGTTACAGAAGAGCCTTAGTCTTTTCCCCCTATTCTATTCTTTTTGTGATATAATCATTGCCTTCTCCTGGAAAGCTGTCAAAGATGCTGGCATTGAAAATGATCTTCCCTCCTAATAATAATAATTAATAAGTAATATCTGACAGCCTCGAGGGCAGCCCCAAACTGCTCTGCAGTTCTGTCATACCACAGAGCAATGCAAGCACAGCCCACGGGCCCAAGCCCTGGAAAAGGAATGCAAAATGCAGCACTCTTTCTGGCTCAGAGATAGCAACAATATTAGCTTAGTTTTCATGACACTGACAACATATTTAGTCTGGTCATATTTTAAAGAATAACAAAATCACATACTTTGCTGGGACATATACCAACAATCTAATAATTACACCACTCAACACTAATAAGAATGCTTTTCAGGGTGGTCCAGCATATTCAAGAGCTGGGGCTGGATGCCAGTTTTGGCAACTGCCTTCACTTTTTTCTCTCTCTTCCCCTCTCTCTGACTCCAGGGTAATGTGGATGCATCAGCTCACAGATGAAAGCATCTGGCCATCTGCAGACATAAAAGAAGGTGTTTGTCCATTTTGCTTCATGTGCTGGGAGCTGTTCACCAATGTCAGAAATCACATTCCCTCCTTGCAAGAACATGGGATGGTAAAGGCTTGAAGTACGTGACTGTATAAAGGCAGAGCAGTAGGCATTTAGTGCCTTCATCTTCCAACATTTCCCTAATAACTTTACCCTTCTCCTTTGAAGTGGCAGCAGAAGAACTGGAGTATGGCCAGATGTGTTTATTTTTATGCTGAGTTTCATGAGTGCATTTGGGTGATGTTTTGTATTGGTTTATGGTGTGGGGGGACATAGTGTTCTCTTTTTGTTTGGGGGGGAGGGGGTATGTAATTTATTTTCAAACTAATGAGATGGACTGAAATTCAACTTTAGTTCATTTGAAAGCCAGAATTATATCTGCAAACTCCTCACTAACAGCATTCTGAGACAGAGATTAATTGCTGTCTCCTAAGGGCTTGCCTTCTCATGAGTTACAGAAAATGTCCTGCAGCAAATCAGTGGAGATTTGAGCCCATGTCACCCATTTGGTGTTGGCCTGGCTGGACTTGGCTTAACTTCTTAAATGTAAGAGCTAAGAGCAGTCAGTGTGGGGGCTGAGCAGTGGGCTGGTTAGAGTAAAGCTCTGGTAACAGCACATAGG